CTGATTCTGTCTGGGTTTCAGCTCAGCTCCCATGGGATTGTGGATGGTGCTGGGCTTAGTCCCTGTGGCTCAAGAAAGTGTCCAGAGCTCCACCTGCCTTGAACACTGATGGTAGAGGCCCAGGGGTGCCTCACTGGGGTTTCTGAAGATTTCCAGTGTTCAGCCTGGCTCCTATGGGGAGACTAGGGGTGTGGGGAGTGGCCACCAAGGTCCCAGAATATGTCCAGGTGTCCGCATACATCACACACTGCTTGAGGAGGCAGAAGGTGGCTCAACAGGGTTCCTGAAGATGTCCAGGGTTCAGCCTGGTGTCCACAGGCACACTAGAGCTATGGGGAGTCTATTTTATTTTTCATGTCTGTTTTATATAAGTAAGTGTACTGGTATTCAGTGCATATATATTTATGATTGTTGAATCTTATCTTTGGCATTTCCTCTCTTGAAATATGTAGTGACCTTCTTTGTCTCTTTTGATCAGTCTTCACTTGAGGTTCACATTATCTGCAAATATAATAGCTATGACTGTGTATTTCTGCATTCCTGTTGCATGGAGTATTGTCTTCAATCCTTTGCCTTTTAGTCCATGAATTTCTTTATTAATTAAATATGTTTCTTGTATGTCACATACTGTTGGATCTTGTTTGTTCATCCATTTTCTCTGTCTGTTTCCTTTGGTGAATTGAGAACATTTTTATTCACAATTGTAACTGATATGTATTGGCTTTTCCTTTTCATATTATTTTCCTGTTGTGGGTACCCTGTCTTTCCCTATATTTAATTGCTTGCCCTGCCTGTTGGCTTCTTCTATTAGTGTTCTTGGATCTATTGTCTTCACTATCTCTTTCTAAAATACCCTTCAGAGCATTTTAGATGGCTGGCTTGGTAGTCATGAATTTCTTCAGCTCTTCTCTCTCATTTGAGTATTTTATTCATCTCTTGATTTTGAAAGACAGTTTTGCAGGGTACATCAATCTTGGTTGGAGGTTGTTTTCTCTTAAGGTTTGAAATACTTCACTGCAAAATCTTGACTTGAGGGTTTGTGTTAAGAAGTCTGCTGTGATTCTGACTTGCTTTCCTTTATTGTATTCCTCTACCTGCTTTTAATATTTTAGTTTTTTGCTGAATTTCTGTAATCTTCACTATTGTATGACTTGGTATAGATTTATTTTTTGTCATGCGTATTTTAATCCTAGAATGTCAATAAAATTTTCCATGATCATTGTGGAATACGTTAAATCCTCCTCCTGCTTGACTTTCTTTATTCCACATTTTTCTTGTCATGTGTTTATCTCACATGTATGCCTCCATATTGCTTTATAATTTGTAAATGATAGACAACATTTTTTGCTTTTTAAGTGTGCTTGTTTTTTCACATAATGAACTTATTTCCTCTGCTCTCATTAGTGTATAGATTTTATATGAGCGCGTATTTTTGTCCAATACATTTCCATTCTGGTATTTCCAATATTTAAGAAACCCATGTATTTCAAAGGCATCAAACATATAGAATATGTGAGTGGATTATTGTTCTAAGAAATGACTTTTTGTGTGACAATGAATAAATAATCAGTATTTAAATGCTGTCCTCTCTGGACTTGGGAGAGATAACTATATGCTTGAACAAAGAATTACTTTCTCACAGGTAAATAAATTCTTCTTGTGTTGAAGACTGAAATTTTAAAGTACACAACTATAAAATTTTTAAAAATGGAATGTATTCAGGGTAATAGAACAGATTTATTGAAGAGAAAATATATATGATATATAGTACTTATGCCAAATAAATATATTTGTTTGAGAATAGGATGTTACTCTATTTGTGTACCAAAAACACACACACACACACAAGGAAATTCCCAAAATAAAGTGGAAACTAACAGGGATAGGGATACAATATGTGATATGTCCATAAATGCAAAGAATTAAATCCTGAATCTATAGTGTTACCAGAAATAAGACAATGATGCAGTCAGCAGTTCATAGATGGTGACATAAAATGGCCAGAGGGTGAAGAGCACATGCACAACCTCTCTGCTATACAAGGAAATACAAATTGAAGTCATACTCAGGAAAAATGGATGCTATATGAATAAATTATCCAGGTTTCTCTGGTAGAGAAATTTTAAAATTCTGATGAAGTGTTGGCTGCATAAACAGTAGTGGAAAATCGTAACTTCCTGACGTTACCTGGTAAAAGCAGTTTGATCACTTGTCACTACTATGCAAGTATTTGCATTATGACAATAATTTCCACTATAAGAAATATTCAGACAAATATAGTAGTATTTATTTGAAACATTGAAGTAGGCTTTCTGCAAAAGTTTTCCAAACCAAAACAAGAGCTCCTATAGATTTTCCAAAGGAGAATCAGAGCTCTTGTTACTGAAATGGCCACTAGGAAGACAGTCAAAATAAACTGACTGATATGTAAAATATCTGAATGTATTTAAAAATAAAATCGTGACTTAAACACGATATCTACAGCAAAGGAAATAATCAAAAGACAGCACAATGTGGTGAAGGTGAAAATATATTTGCAACTGGAGCATTCCCAGTAGTAATTTGTGAGTGTCTCATGGTTAGCTTTGTAATACAACAGCAAATATATGAGATAAACAACTTACAAAGAGGAAGGTTTTATTTTGCTCAGTTTTGGAGAATTAATTCAAGACTGATTCACCCTGCTGTTTAGAATCAGCAGGTGCTATGGTGTGTCAGTTCAGGTGAGTAGTGAATAGCGTCCATTCACCTCATGACACTTAGAAACACTTAGGAACAAGAGACAAAGACCCCTGAACACCTCTGAGGCCATGTCCTCAGTGATCTAATACTTTTTTTTTTAATGGACCACACCATGATAACTCATCACCACCAACCAATAGTGCTATAAGTTGGTGTAATGATTAAGTTTCAATGGCAACTTGACTTAGAATGTGTTTAGGGATTGGAAAGTGTACTTTATGTTTAGTTTGATGCGACAAGGGGTAATCATCTTGGGTAGACTCTGTGGTCCTTGACTCCTTCTTGTCTGGTGTGGTTTCCATGCCCTGGATCCCAAGTGCCATAAAATGAACAGCTTTGAACTGCTTTGCGCTTCTGCCTTGATCATTCTGTGTTGGATTTCACAGTTATGGACTGAACCCTCTGAAGCAGAGTTAAATTAAACCTCTCTTTTAAACTGGGGGGGCTTCTTATATATTACACCAGTAATGGGAAAGTTGGGTGACACAGTTAGGAAGCAAGCATTTAGTGCTTGGACATTTGGGGTATATTTAAGTTCCATCTGTTGCACTCCATATTTACACACATCCTATATTTCTATTTTTGACCCATAAAACTATTGTTCAAACTAAGTGCTAATGACGGTGTTAAAAAATTCTTTTACTAGATAAATACAAGCTGTTTTATTATTTGGAAAAGTTCATATTGCATTAAAATTAGCTCATTGCATTATAAGGAATTTCAACTAAAATTTTCATTTGAAGGAAGAACAATGTTAAAATACCTTTAAATATCAAATTATTTCTAAGTGTTTCATAATATGTAAGAGTAAATAATGTGTCTTATTTACCTGATCATCTTTCTAGAAATCAGCATTTGAAGTTTTAATAAAATATTACACAAATTTCAAGCATAAAATTTATGGGAGTATTATACCAGGATAGTAGGCTTATTTTTCAGAAGAAAATTTCCAAAGATATTGTTTGATGCTACAATGTTTAATGTCTCCCTAATGTGTTAATATAGAATTTATGAATGGAATAAAATAATTTCTTTCTACTCAATCTTTTATTTATTCCAGAATGCTGTACATTTATTAGCAAATCACTCAATTGTGATAATACTTTTGGAACAATATTATCAGCAGAAAGCTCACTGGTACAGAGATACAAGCATATATTCACGTAGGAGAATATTAAATGTACCAGTCTCAGAAAGAATTTCCATAATTAATACAGTGAAATGCAGTATATGAAAGAATGTGCAACATAACCAGGTACTAACATAGGAAATATGGTTAAAACATAGTATGATGTCAAAATTAGGAGGTAGTATTTTATAACTACTGGTAATATAGTCTTTCATTTTTTTTTTTTTTTTTTGTTTTGTTTTGTTTTGGTTTTTCTCTGGTACCGGGAACCGAACTCATGACCTTGAGCTTGCCAGGCAGGCGCGGTAATATAGTCTTTCAAATAAAAAGTATAAATAAGGAAGAGGACCTACATCAATGACCTTGAGTTAGTATTGCATATGGAACTAGATTTTGTGGCAATAGTAAAATAGTACTAAAGTGTTAAACCTCTTATAATTGTCTTGAAAAATGATTATATAGATGTATTACTTGTATTGCAGTCAAAGTGCCTCAGAATGCCAGAATTAAATCTAACAATGTCTAGGAGAACAAACAATCCTTACTGTCTTTTAACACCTTTTTGAAATTCTCAAGTTTATGTAGGGGCATAAACTGAAGAACACTCACATTATCTCCCTGGTGTAATAACATGACAGAGGAAAGAGTAAATAGAACCCACATGTACAGTATAATAAGAAAGGGAAAGAAATTATTCAAAGGAAGGAACACTTGGGATGAGGGAAAGAAGAAAACGAAAGTACTAAGGCATCATATATATATCTATATATCTATATAGATATATATATCAGTGGCATAACTGTACTGCTGGTGTCTGATGGTTTGTTGAGAGGAACAACTAGTGATTAAAAGATTTTTTAAAAATTTAGATCAATTTTGCATGCTTATATCTGCTAATCTGAGCAACTTATGCGACAACAACAATTTGCAGTATAACAAACATTGAAGAAGAACACTGAACTCTACATAGTCTACGTGAGTGTTTATATATGGGAGTTCAACGATAATCATGTAGTACAGAACAGATTAAATTCTACTCTAGAAATTAAGAGTACCAGATTTAACCACCCCCATCTCTGCTGGTTAAAGCTTTTATCATGCTACATAATATTTAAACAAAGGGGATTACCTGCAATGTTTACCAGGACTGTAGATCCCACATATGGGTAGAATCCTTGGAGAATGGCTTCAGCAATTTGTGAGGCATCAGGAAGTTCAGCATCCAAAGCACTCTCAAATCTGGAAACATTCTCCTTTCTCCCCATCACTAACAGCACTATCCCTGCTAGGGAAATGAAACAGAGAATAGCCACCTTCACCAAAGAACTGAGAGTCTGAAACCAGGACACTGTTTTCACTCCTCGAATATTCAGAAGTCCCAGTGACCACAAAATGGCCAAAGCTAGGCATTTCTTTGGTAGCTCTGGAGGGGAGCACCCAGCATAGAAAGGCTGAATTAGAGAGCTTGCTACCAACAAGCTTTGTGCGGCTAGTCCTATGAAATAACCAAAAAGTTTGATCCAAACATGAAGGAAAGCAACACAGGATCCAAGAGTTCTTTTGAGGAGAAAATAAACCGCTGCACTTCTAGGGAAGGTGGCACCTGTCTCCGCGGCACAGAGGCCATTGACGATATTCAGTATGCCGCAAAGTGCCCAAATACTCAGGGAGACAGGAATGTTCCCCGAGGAGGATTTCAGCACCCCCTTAGGGGATATAAATATTCCTGCCCCTATTGTGGTACTAAATAAGAAGATGTTTCCATGGAAAAACCCTATTGCCCTTGAGAGTTGCATGTCTTTGTCTTTTCCTGTTTTTTCAGTCCTAAACTCTAAACATGAGTCTTCACAAGGGTTTCTTTTGTAGTTTCTGTTGATTTAGTAAGCCTCTCCCAGAAGAGATATTCTGTCAACACTAACCCATCTCATCCTTATGCAAGTTCTTTTATTATTTAACTCAGCTTGTCCGAGTGTGGTGGTGTTTATTATTTAACTTCACTTGGTTTTCAAAATTGTTGACCTTTTTTCTGTGATTTTGTGTTCTCTTCTTAAAACCAGAGTGAGAATGACTTACATGTTACTTATTGTTTTAAAATCACATACGCCACTGAACAAGTTAGTCACTCCTAGTTAGGAATGTGAGGTTGCAGAAGTTTCTGGAGGTCTGAAGTCTCCTTTAGAGTTAGAACACTGTTACTGGACTAAGTCACATCACGTTTATTAAAGAACTGGATCTTTGAGAGGATGAAGGAGCTATTGCATCTGTAAGAAAAGACTTTCTTTGGGAACATAAATTTGAGATAGCATTTGTACAGGGAAGAAAAAGACTTGGTGCAATGGGAGCGAAGGCTGCGTACTGGACAGGTTGTCTACAGTGCATGAGGTTTCCAGCCCTTATTCTGGTACTTCTGGTTGGATATGGTGATGTAAAATGACATCTTGGCACTGGTTCTTGTATCCTGTTGATAAACATTATTTTCTGCAATTAAGTATCACAGGAATTTACAGTTTTGGTTTAGTTGTCACATACATCTAAAGAATAAGAAATGTTATTAGAAATTCTGATGTTATCTGAGAGTAACCATGTGTTCTTGTTTCTGTGAATCTAAACTAAAATATTTTAAGCATGACCATCATAGTCATTTACATGTAGTGTTTCTTATACTTTGGAATACTGGGCCAAGTGTGAGTATATTTTTGCCAGGGACATTTACCAAAGGAGTGATCAATATTACTATACCATTATTAGTTCAGTGTGAAGTATTACTCTATGGATTTGTACCAAGAGACCACATTGACATTTATTAGGCAAAATGTATACTTTTTTATTGAAGTAGAAAATTTTAATTTTACATTGCCGTTCAGTTGATATGATTTTTAGGACATGATGAGGATTTTTTGTTTTGTTTTGTTTTGTTTTGTTTTGTTTTATTTTTGGTACCAGGATCACACTCAGGACCTTGCACTTTCCAGGCAGGTGCCTATGCCACTCAGCTATATTCCTGGCCTGGACATGATGTTTTTTGAATTGCACATTTTCTCATATTTCAAAAACAATAATTGTTTTATTTTATTTATTTTATTTAATTTTTATTATTTTATTTTATTTTTGTCTTTTTGAAACAGGGTTTCACTATGCAGTTCAGGCTGGCTTCAAACTTGCAGTGATCCTTTTGCGTCAGCCCTCTGAGTGCTGAGATTACAGGTGTGTGCTATCATACCTTGCAATAACTTTATTTTATAGGACTAGTTGCCTGATAATGAATGAAGTATCAGTTCACATTAATAAGTGACTTCTTTGTCATTTCATTTTCACTGGTATTTCTATGTTGACCCAGACATCATGTGCAAGCTGATTAGGGCTAAATGTATGCAGGCCAATATTTTTTCCCAATTTTTCAAAATCTATAGATTTTATTCCAGGTATTGTGTGAATACTCATTAATGCATAAATTTATTGACAATTTATATTAAAAGACATGTAATGTGGGGAAATTAACTTTATTTAGGTACTTTGTTGTTTATTTATTACACAGTGTTTTATAAAAGAGCCAGGTTGGCTTTGCTCCTTGCCCCCTGTGATAGTTACTGTGGAGTCAGGATGGAGGAGTAATGCCTACCTGATTGGTTTAGCATGGTTTTGGGTATGTCTTCATGATAGACTTACTGAAGAAGGAAGACCCACTTGGGTTTGGGTGTCCCCAACTAATTGATTTGTATCCTGGATCATGTAAAATCAGACAGAAGAAGGAAGTCTCACTTATGTTTCTTTTCAGAAATCCCTGTCTTCACTCTTGCTCTTGCAGGTCCATCCCCAGGCATCCAGCGCAGACATTTAGACTCTCCAGTACACTCTTCAGCCGTCCAACTGAGACCCTTCTTATTCCTGATATGGCCTAGCATGTGACTCTGGAGTGACCTCCTGGTCTTCTGCCTTTGACTGGATCACCTAGTTTTCTAGACTGCATATATCCCTGTTGCATTCTTCTACAGCTGGAACTCCATGTGGCCATAGTAAATCTATTTTGTAAAATAGGTTTGTAGGTATTCCCATTACTGATACTCTTCCTAAATTCTTTACTTCAGAGTAGTTTGAGACTCATTAGCTCTAAAGTAACAGCACCAAACTCAAATATTAATATATGCATTTCTTTAAATATAGCCTTACTAAGCAGATTAAACAGACTTTTAAGTTTTTAGATAGAGCCAGCTGGGGTTACATTCCCTACAAATCTGCCCTCAACCTACTTGGTATACAGAAGGCCAGAAATTACTGCTGCCCTTGTGAGCTGTGTGACTGAGAGACTCTCCACAGTGCTGCTGCCTCACAGCACCTAGACACAGAACACTTTCTGGATGCTCCTCATCCCGGAAGTTCCATTAACTTTCTGCTCTCAGAATGGTGGCCCTGCTGTTGCCTGTAGGTAGTGTCATAGTGTGAGGATTTCTGCATGCAAGTCAGTGGAAGCACAGTTACAGTAAAGCTCCTTTCCTGCTTTGATTTGGCTCTTACATACTTTTCCCATGTTCAGCCCCTCAGTCCCTTCAACCACCGTGGTTCAGCAAATAGTTATTGTCCTCCACTGTATGAAGGAACAACATAAAGACTGTTTGTTATAGTAAGGAAGGACAATCTACTTTTATAACTTAATCAAGGGAGAGATAAGTAATCACACAAACACCCAGGTATATGTCATGTGGCAAATGATGATTGACGGTGAGTGTGGTGGGTTTAATCAGGGAAGTTGTAGTATTACTGTTCCCAGATAACTATGTCGCCCAACCACAGGAACAGTTGAGAAGAGTTTAATCTTAATATCAGTTGAAAGATCACATCCTCCGGGAAACAGTGTTACCCATTTGTGGTTTTATTTATGGATTTCTTATGAAAAGATATTCCTACACGTAATTCTCTTGGTATCTGGTGTATTTCTTCTATTAGCTTTTAATTTGTGGACTGAGAATGTGCAGAAGAATGATCATTAGACATTCATCTTGGAAGATGTCAGGTTCCCAGCCTATATTAAGAGCTAACATTGGAGATTTGAGTCTGTGTGTTCTTAATATGTTTTGCAAATAGAGAATACTGACTTTGCTGATGGATTTCATGTGTGTTTGTGAGACGAAAACAGGCATAAATGTCAAAAAATGTGTGAGGGCCAGGGAACTCAGAGTAGGGCTGGTACCTTCAGCATTTCTACTGTTTTAACATGACACAGTTATTCACCTATTGCCTTGTTCATAGCCTCCTTGTTAATCTCAATGTTTTTCCATTCAGTTCAAAGTTAAATGAAACATTCATTAAAATTTTGCAGTTGCTGTTTTTATTAGAGAATTTCAAATGGCATGATACTATCATGGATTCATACTGTGACTCTTGAAATTTTGTTTATCTGATGGTGTGAAATTATACCTCCTCATTATTTTATTTCTCATGTCTCTTGTAGCTAGGCATAGAAAATTCACCAGAGATTGTCAGTGGCTGAACAGGAGGCAGATGCTGTGTTTCTCTTTGCAACTTCAGATTTTGGGGAATGAAACTATGTTGAAGTAGACAGTGTTAATGAAGTAAATTGTGAAAGATATTTAATGTTATAGAATTGTATACAGAAAACCTGCTAAACATAATACACAAAGTTCATGTTATCTATTTACATGTTATATATTTACCACCATTTAGAAAATTAACAGTAAATCAAAGACATTCTATGCTTTAAATGTCTGTATCATATGATATATGACTTACGTATCTAGAGACTATGAAAAGTCCACACTATTTATAAAATATGAAGTAGCCAGTACATTATTAACTCTTGTCCCCAGGCTGCATATTAGGACTTGAAACTTATTCACCTTATAACCACAGGTTGTACTCTTCAATCAGCATCTCTCCATTTTCTTGGCCCCCTCCAACCTCTGAATACCACTGTCCTATACACTTCTGGGTAAGTGCTTGTCTACTTTCAATGATGTTAATCCATCCAGTAGCCATAGCTTCATAGGCTACACCGAAATTTATTTCCTGGCCAAATGCAAGTTTTTCAAAACTTTCTGCTTTCTTCTTGCACTTCATTTCCTCTGTAAATCTGGTTAAACTGCCATCAACACCCATCCCACAACTGAGTACAGTGTCTGTCTTGAAATATCCTGTACCAGCAAAGGCAGTCTGTCTCCCTTACATTCCATCTTGTCCAAACTCTCAGCACATCTACAAACATGAGATGAGTTCATTTCCAGAATGTAACATGAATGGCCTCCACACCAATTCTCAATACAGTCCTCATAGTCCTTGGTAACATCAAAGCCACGGGTATTACTTTATGCAGTCTTATCAGTATTCATCTGAGCTCATAGTAGAACTGTCCCTGAAACTTCTGTTATGGTTTAGATCTAAAGTGTCCCCTCAAACCTTATGTATTCAAAGGTGAGTGTTTTAGAGGTTGACCAGTTTATAAAGGTGTTTCAGTTGTTAAAGATTGACTATTAACTTGATTGTCCTTGAGATCTATCACCAGGGATTGATGAATTATATGTTCAAGTGTGTTTGAGTGTATCCTAGGGTGATGGTCTTGGGTCATATATCTGGTCCCTCACCCTGTCCACTCTGGCACTCTTCCCCTGCTCTGCTCATTGACTGCCATGAAATGAGCAGATTTGCCCATCCATGCCCATCTGCCATGATATCTCATCTTAGAACTAGCTGATGGTGGACTCAAACTATGAGCAAATAAACCTTCTCCACATGTGTGTTTTTGGTATCACATGTCTGCAATGAAATTATGACTAATACAGTACTATACTGCTCAGTTCTTTTGATGAGTACGTGAATGTATCCTGGCTCAAAGTACTTGAGGGTGTGGGGTCTTGGTAGAGGAGATAGATCACCTATGTTGTGACCTTGAAT